GGGTGCCAGACTTTGGTAGCACGGATCGCTTAGTTGCCCCCGTGTTTTGGGTGCCAGACTTTGCTAGCACTGATCGCTTAGTTGCCCCCGTGTTTTGGGTTCCAGAGTTTGATAGCATTGATGTCTTAGTTGTCCCCATGTTTTGGGTGCCAGACTTTGCCCACACTGATCTTTGAGCTGCCCCCACTTTTGGGTGCCCTCATGTTTCGGTGGCAGACTTTTGTAGCACTGATCTTTGAACTGCCCCCACTTTTTGGGTGCCCTGATGTTTTGGGTGCCAGACTTTAGCAGCACTGATCGCTTAGTTGCCCCCATGTTTTGGGTGCCAGAGTTTGATTGCACTGTTCTCTTACTTGCCCCCATGTTTTGGGTGCCAGACTTAAGAGGCACTGATCGCTTAGCTACCCCCATGTTTTGGGTGCCAGCGTTTGATTTCACTGATCGCTTAGCTGTCCCCATGTTTTGGGTGCCAGACTTTGGTAGCACTGACCGCTTAGTTGCCCCCATGTTTTGGTGCCATGCTTTGATGGCACTGATCGCTTACTTGCCCCATGTTTTGGTGCCAGGCTTTGATGGTACTGATGTCTTACTTGCGCCCCCACTGCTGTTTTGGGTGCCAGACTCTGATAGCACTGATGTTTTAATTGCCCCTATGTTTTGGGTGCCAGGCCTGTTTCGAGACGACACACTGACACAATTACAGAACTAAGATCATCTCACACCATCTTGGGCACTCCAAAGCTAAGGCAAACCGGGGCGGCCGAAGAAGGACTGGCATCTTGCAAGGCGCGTCCCTTCGGGACACCTACACGGGCTGCGAGAACCCTCATTTCGCGCAGTTCTCCTCTAAGGGACATCGGTAAGACGCGATCGAATGAGGTGTCGGTCTGGATGGCGTCTCGCGCTTTCGTCTCAGCACATGGAGAATTTTTCTAAGATGTTTCGCGAGATGGATGCGACAAGACACATACGACACGTTTAAATTGCGAAGATCAGGTTCGGATGTGGCAAGACAGACACGGCACTCTAAGAAGGCGAAGGTTTTTTTAAGAGACATTGGTAAATCGCGATCGCGTACCCTTTTCTTGGGCGTGGTTGTTAAGTGTAGTCGTTCGCTCAGACACCCCTGGATCACAGGGACAGGACGGTCGCACGAGCACTGGCATTTCCAGATGTCAGATTCAAGGTCACTGGATAGTCCAAAACAAAACGGCTGAAGGACGTCTGGCAAAAAGACCAACAGAAGACTTTGAGGTTGGATTTTATTAGTTTGAACCTATTTGGAAGTATCTCCCGGGAACCTTTCTAAAGTGTTAAATAAAGGGTGAGGTTACAGCTTAGTCTTTTACTTCAACTTGACGCTTTGCTTCATTCACTTAATGAAACGTTGCCCTTGACAACAAAAAACATATCAAAGGTACGAAAAGGCGCCAGGCAGTGTTTAACGGTTTCCTCGTCGAAGACGTTATACCTTTGTTGCGCGTCAGGGCCAACTCTGAGATCAGCTTTATCGTGGTTTGACGCGGAACAAAGCTGTGTCATCAGAAGTCATGCGACAGAGGCGAATGGCCAATGCAACTTTGAACGTTTTTCCCTCTTCGATGTCAGTTGTCTAGTGACTTTTTGTGGCCTTGATCGACCAAGATCGGAAATTTGAAACACTGTGTCCAGTATGTAACCTTAACGAGTCGTCCAGGTTGGTAACCTGCTTGGTTGGGGCCTCTCCTCTCGATATCGAAAGCATAAGGACCTATGTGTGCCTGGAGGTAACGTATCAGGTCTTGATCGTCCACCAATTCCCCTGTACCAATTATCGTGGCCGTTCGACAATTGATGCCAACATAGCCGAGGAGATACTCGGTCGTCCTTAGCCGCTCGCGATCCAACGCTGGCATGGGCTGGACCGCGTCGATCGAGCGTCGACAAAATCCGCAGTAATAACGATCTGCAATCCAACGCTCGTGACATTTCTTGTGAAACATGTTCCCGCAACAAGGCTTGTTATCCATCTCGTAGCCATCATCGCCAAAGCAGTAAAAACACTCATGGAAGCGTGGGACGCATCTCTGCCACTTCGACTACGAAGTCACGCGATATGTATTTTTGTTTGCAAGGAAATTAATTGAAATTTTTCCTACTTATTTAATTGTTTTAGAATGTTAAAAGACACTCATGATGAAGAGGTTTCCTCGTTCAAGATATCTGCGAAGTGACGATAGAGTGATAAGTCCGTTCTTTTCGCTGATAAGCCATTTTTATTTTGGTTTGTTTGGATAGCTCTCAAGTTACAATGTACAAGGCGCCAGAGGGTTTACAAGTACTAGTTGCGTTTTTACTTATTCTACTTCGTCTCCGCTCCCATCGTCTTCTCTTGGTGCACTCTCTTCGTCTGAAGAGGTCGGCAGCTGGCCATCCGTGCTGCTTTCGATCATACGATTAAAGGGGTGACATGCACCGCAACTGAAAACGATCAATAGGTCACTTCCGGTATTCAGGTGATTTTTCTTCAAGAGTTCGTTCCTCTCTAACGCTTGTTTTACAGCTTCGAGCTTCGAGCTTTCGTGTAACACCATGAATTTGAAACGTTTCAAATACTGAGCTCTTTGCGTCTTTCCCTCAACGATGGCATTACATGCTGCTCGAGTTTTTTTCGATAAAATCATCCTCCTCGCACTCTTCAGAAACGTCCTTGAAGCCACGCAAAATGACCATGAATGCAAGTGCGGCCCTCCAACTCGGCCAGGCTGGACCGATGGCGCGCGTAAGAGCGTTGAACGTGCTCTCTCTTAACCAGAGCTCGATCGCCTGGAACTACGATTTGTCACGAATGGTCTCCGAGATCAAGACGGTCTTTGACCCTAGCTTAAAGTTTGCAAGGTAATTGGCTTGTAATGTTCCCTTCTTTAAAAATATGGCACTCACCAAGATGGCCTTGCCTTTCGCCAGGATAGGTCGTCGAGGTCCTTGGACAATCTTCTCGATATAGCTCTTCTTGGCAGGGTTCTCTAGCACTGCCTCTTCCTCTTTCAGGAGTTTCTTGTTCACCATGGTGGCCGTGAGACTCTCTGATTTTTTAAACCATATTAAGAGAGTGCACGAAACTGTCCCGATATCAATTTGCCTCTCCAACTGTAGTTACCGTTCGCGAAGGTCTAGCGGGGTCCAGCCCCATCAAATCCTAAATTCTCCCTCTCCCAGTATTTCAATGAAGGCAAACGATCCCATTGCCAAGAGGGAAGTGAGCGGAAAGCCTGGGCGGAATCGCAGCGCCATGGAGAGAATGACGCATAAAGATCCATTTGCAGTCATGAGTGCTGCAGTCATGCATTCACCCAAAGGGAAACCCATATTTCGAGAGATTGCATACTGTCGTGACCCTTACTCGAAAAGTACAGAGCAGAGGATTCGAGTGTGGCGAATCAACACACCTCACTCATTTGTACACCTAAGCAACCAGGACAGGGACAAGGAACAGCACGCTCGCGAGACCTTGCACGAACTAAAGTACGTGCCTGACAGAGTGGGGATGGAAAAGAACATCGAGCACTATGAGGTGTACTCAGTGGTGAAGAAAGCTTGGCAAGACCATTGCCAGACGAGTGAGAGTCGGCCGGTGGGTGTTTACTATGTTCAAGAAGAACTGGGAGAGCTGTTACAGTTGCTAGAGATTCCGTGCATGAACATCGCGGACAAGTTCAAGGGTATAGCCTTTTACTCCTACGGCAAAGGTCAGGTAGAGATTCAACGGGAGCATACATGTGGGTGGCCGCACGACTATGGTCTGCCTTGTCAGACAACCTTGTCCATGCGATAGGCTCTGTTTGCTTGCAAAACCCTGAAAGAGGCACCGAAAGTACTTAAGAGGAATTCTTGGGGCAGCAGGGTGGAAGAGGAAGAGGCCAAACCTAAAAAAGGTGATCAAACAGCAAAGGAGTACAGTCGAGTACCCTGTGACAACAAAAAGAACAAAACAAATGCCAAGTGACTAATGATCATTTAATTGCCAAAAAACATAATAAACATACACAGCATCAACTCTTCGTTTCCTTCGCCTATTTACTCCCTTTCTCTGTATGGAATACGCTTGGCTAACGGTTCTCCGTCGAATTCCCTCTGGAATCCACAAAGGCAAATGATGCAATCCCACACCCCCAAGTCTCGCCTAAACGATGACGTTTCAAAAGGTTTGTCAATCGAAATCGACACGATGTGACGGGTCCACTGAAAACATGAAAAGGAAACGGTAAATTCCACAATTTGATCGAGCTTAAAACACATCACCGACAATTTGTTAAAGCTATGCTGCGCCAGCAACCGTTCCATCGCTCTATGCTCTCCACAATTCGTGATTCGACATCGCGAGCTTTCGTAAGTGTGTCTTTAAAACGTTTCAGACACCAAACATGGCTACCATCCAGCAAGGTGACACCCACACTCAATCTTTTCACTTCGATTTGTTCGCTCCATCGATCGGTCGCTTCGCGTAACTGGTTGCCAATCATACTCTTCCACGCGTCCAGGTATCGGTTTGCACGATCTACCGCTGTCGAAGGTGGGGGAAGATGTTCGTCATCGGGCTGTCCGCATAAAAATCCAATCGACTTCATCGCCCCAAGCGGGGCACACGGTACCACAGATTGCTCCAGTGGCTTCAGCGTACATGGACCGGAGTAGTCATCAAATCTTTCATCGGATCTCTCTTGCATCCAGGACATTTTACAAGTTGGATATTCTCGATACAGGCCAGGTGCATGACTCCTCTCTCACAGCAATTGCGGCGCATGGCATCATTTGGCTGACACGGCTTGAGACACACTACAAAACTCCACTCCATTCTCTAGCTATTGATCGGTAAGATTGCATCCTTCGCATTAATATCCACGGATAGTGACGTCATTGACTGGTCGCATTTTTGCCCTATGACGTTTGTTTTTACGTCATAAGGAGCGGTGATGACGTAGGTGGGTCTTGTTGATGACATCAGAGGCTAGGGTCTACGTCAGAAGGCGCGGTTCTGATGATTTCAGAGGCTCGGTGCCACCCTCGATAACGTCATCATGACGTACTATGTGACGACATTAAATGGCCTGGTTACATGTCTACGCATCGGCCTATAAAGGCAAGCGATGAGGTAGTTCTGGTAGTTTGTTGCAATACATGGTGGGTCGCCGTTGCTTCCGTTGCCACAGTCTGTTGTCTGTTCACAATCGAACCGGCCTAAGCGCTTACCGTCGAAATTGTTGCTCGATTTTCATACATCATGATTGCATGCGCAAGGAAGACTTGGCAGCCTCTCCGTCGTGTAATATCTTTACCAGAGGCTTGATTTGGGAACCCCTGCCGGTTGTTAAGGAGCCAGCCGAGGCTGTCGTGGTTATAGACAGTTCGGACGAAGAAGACGAGGATCCCATTCCGAAAAAAAGGACTAAAAAGGACGGAACTTGTGTCATTTGTTTCGAAGAGGAAAATAGCAAAGACGATCCGTTGCTGGAGGCTAATTGTTGTCGTCAACTCGGCCACCTTTCTTGCCTTCGACGATTTTACGAGATGCCCGCCGAGTGCAAGACAGTGAATGAGAGAAAGGAGATTGCACTTAAGGTTGGAGTCCCTAGATGTTTCGTTTGCAGAGTTGACTCCTCTGACAACGTCGTTGGACTTCATGAAATTTTGCCCACCCTGCTACCCAAGGTGACGGGACGGAAAAGTGTGATGAGGGCCTTTGACGCCAATCAAGTCCTGACAGCATGGTATGCCATGTTCTGGAAGCACATTATGACCCTGACGAAACATTGCAAACATTGGATGAGGTTCGATAGCGGTTAAGACAGCAACGCGAGCCCACGACGTATGCGATTATCTATTGATTCACACAAAAACGGTATTCATGATATTAACAATGACATTAATAATACTGATACTATTACAACTACTACCACCACTACTACTACTACTACTACTACTACTACTACTACTACTACTACTACTACTTCTAATAATAATAATTATTATTATATAATAATAATAATAACAATAATTATATAATAATTATGGCTAAATTGATTATATTCCGCCAAATGATTATGACCTCATAGACGAAGAATCGATCTACAACTCGGCAAGTAAAACCAAGGGCTCAGCCGGACCATCTGGAATGGACGCAGAGCTGTATAAGAGAATCCGATGCTCTAAGAATTTCAAGACCGAGGGCAAAATATTGAGAGAAGAGCTAGCCGTGTTCACAAGAAATCTGCTAAGGAAATCGTACCACCCATCCTTGCAGGCTTATCCCGCTTGATAAGAACCCGGGAATCAGACCAATTGGTGTTGGAGAGGTACTGAGGAGAATAGTAGGGAAAACGGTCAGCGGTTTCTTAAAGGAGGAAATAAAATAAGCGGCGGGTCCCCTACAAGTTTGCGCTGGTCATAACGCAGGAGCGGAGGCTGCGATCCATGCAATGAGTCAAGTGTTTGTTGAAGAAGGAACAGATGGAATATTGCTAATTGATGCTAGTAACGCTTTTAACCAAATGAATAGGTCAGCGGCCTTACACAATATCCAGATCATGTGCAAAGAAATGGCGCTCTATGTGATTAACACATATAGAAGCCCATCTAGACTGTTTATTTGTGGGGGAGGTGAAATACTTTCTCGAGAAGGCACCACACAAGGAGATCCGCTAGCGATGCCATGGTATGCACTTAATACATCCATAATGATACAGAATTTGAGGGATCATTGCCCATTGGTTAAACAGGTGTGGCTTGCAGACGACTCAGCTGGAGGAGGGAGTATAGTACAGTTATACAACTGGTACAGGCAATTGAGTAAGGAAGGACAAAAGTTTGGTTACCTTGTGAATGGGACAAAGAGCTGGCTTATTGTGAAGTCTAGGGAACTAGCGGAGGAAGCAAAGAGGGTGTTTGGAGAGGAGGTCAACATAACGACTGAAGGTCAGCGCCTTCTGGGAGAATTATTGCGTCGCAAGAATACAAAGATCAGTATTGTGAGGAGAAGGTTCGTACATGGAAAGAGGAAATCGAACGTCTCTCTGAAATAGCGAAGAGCCAGCCCCTGGCGGCGTATATTGCTTTCACAAAAGGCTACAAGTCGAAGTTCACCTACTTCATGGTCACGATTGAATCGTTTGAAGATTATGTCGATCCAATCCAGGAAGTGATTGAAGATTTACTACTCCCAACTTTTTTTCGGTCAATCAGAGCCTCTCCCTAACGAGGTGTGCAGACTTGCTACCTTAGCAACGGGTCAAGGGGGTCTAGGCATTCCTGATCTGAAATCCGAGGCACCGCAGCAGTTTGCCGCCTCGAGACTAATAACCACCGACCACGTAGATTCTATTACATCACAGAGTTCCATCATGGTGCCAGGAGAAAGATCTACGGAGGAGCTAAAGAGGCATCAACAATCTCTTAAGAGAGCAAGTGCTAAAGAGAAAATAGATAGCATTGATTCAAGCCTCTCCCCAGGCCTGCTGCGTCTGGTTAATCAATCGAGGGACAAGGGCGCAAGTTCTTGGCTGAGTGCGATGCCTCTCGCAGACAAAGGTTTAGCCCTCAACAAGCAAGAGTTCAGAGACTCGCCACGCTTGCGTTATGACTTACCCTTAGTCGATTTACCAAGTCATTGCATATGTGGGGATAAATTCACCGTTAGTCACGCCCTCTCTTGTAAAATGGGGGGGTTTGTAGCGTAGAGACATGACGGTGTACGGAACTTGTTAACGACATTCATCGACAAGATCTGCAATAATGTCGAAATCGAACTACGCCTTCAACCCCTGGACAACGAGCGATTTCATTTGGGAAGCGCTGTTACAAGTTCTGAGGCAAGGTTGGACATCAAAGCGGGAGGTTTCTGGGCAAGAGGAGTTACGGCATTTTTTGATGTTCGAGTTACGCACGTCAACTAGAAAATGCCTTCCCGACACCAAAGTCATGATGACTGCAGGATGGTGCTCTGGGAGGTCCAGGCGTCTAAGTACTGCTATACGTGCCCCGACCTTGTCGACGGCAGTGCGATGGATGGAATCAGCGCCATCAGGGAATGTCATTCGCGTGTAGTCGTCGTTGTCCACCAGAGATGGGACCTCGAGAGCGCACATGTTACCGGAAGGGTACCTATCATGCTCAGAGCAGCAAGTGGTATCGAGCAAGAGGCTCGCCAGATACTTCCCAGTGTCTACATGTTGTATCGTGGTATGGTTTGCCTGTGTAGCATTCTCGTCGGTGTCAAAAAGGATCGCCTGCACGGGTAAGCGAAACGCACCCGCCAGAAGCAGTCGACTTGGGTCTTCGGGGGCCACGGCCGCAGCCCATGTAAAGCATTCGCGGTCCACGCTATTCGACATCAAGTGCTTCGATGGGTGCATGCTCGGAACAGGAGCAAGTGGTATACCATAGAGATCGCCACCGTCGAGAAAGTGGACCAGGCGAAAAGTGTCCTCTCTTGTTTAGCCAATTCGTTCAAAGACACCTGGTGCTGCACTTCGACTTGTTCCGTTTCGTCTTCTACCAGTGGTGCGGGTTCCGCAGGATACCATTCAGTGAAGCCATCGCGACGCAACATTCTGGCTTCGTCGTAGGTGACGTGGACCCGC